AAGATATGACAAAATAATAATTTATAAATTATCAAGGGCTCATGAGGGAGGGGGGAACTGGGAGGGAGGGGATAAAATGAGGACTTGATGCCAGGGGCTTAAGTGGAGAGCAAATGTTTTGAGAATGATGAGGGCAATGAATGTACAAATGTGCTTTACACAATTGATGTATGGATGATTGTGATAAGAGTTGTATGAGCCCCTAATAAAATGATCTTAAATAAATAAATAAAATAGAGATTAGAAATCTAAAATAAAAAAAAGAAAATGATGATGGCGGCATATGTGCAAATGTGCTTGACACACTGGATGAATGTACGGATTGTGATAAGAGATGTAAGAGCCCCCAATAAAAGTAAAAGAAAAAAAAAACTGCCCCTGGGAGTAGAAAGCCTAATCTTCTCCCACGGAGGACTGGTAGTTTCAACAGACTGATCTTGTGGTTTGCGGTACTTTATACGTTTGTGTGTTTTCTGGAATGCCTGCTACACATGTATTAAGGTGATGTAATAATTATTGTAAATGCATAAAAATACATTTTAAAAAGTAAAAGTCACTAAATTGTTTACATAAATATATGCCAAATGTTTACAAAAACAGGCTAAGTAGTTTGCTTTCCATGGCTTAGAACAGGTGTAGTGCTTTTAACTCTGAGGTTGATCACGAAATTCTAAATAAAATTCTTTTAACATGAGGCTGGTTTCAGGATGGAAGCAGAAGGGGTCATTTCCTCTGAGGGGTGACTACCATGAAAAAATGGGTGGGAAATATCTGAGACTATTTGGCTGTAGCCTAACTACCAGAGAATTCAAGACTCATGGTGAAAATACCTTGCACAGACCGAGTAGAGAGCAAGCAAACTTTCCCAACAATTGAAATCTGTAAGGGAGTGATTGTCATCTCTACTTTGTTTTTTCAAAGAATAGGCAGTGGCTACATTACAGAAAACTTTAAAAGTTTTTACGTTTGAGTTAAAAAAAAACCCACAAAGTTGCTCTATGACAAAAACCCAGATTGATATTGAAGATCAGACTGAAAAACTATGAAAGTCTGAAATATGGAATCATGGAAGTAAAATTTTATTCATGTATATGACATATTGGAAGAGGGATGAGTTGAAGTAATGCCAGTTTACATAAAAGAATAAACATTAAAAAGGTGCTGAACGTAATCAAACAAAACTTTAAAAACTAAACTGACCAAGTCTAGATTGAACATTATTCAAAATCCTTTGCATGGCTTTCAAAAAGAAAGCTTGCAAGTTTAATTATGAGATCATTATACAGCGGCCAATGACCTTTTCAAGAAGCATGATTTGTTAGAATGTTAAAAAACACTGTGAAATAAATTTGCTGTGGCTCTTTGTAGCTTATTAAATTGTGCTATGCTTTAATTTAAGAGCCAAAAATGTTCCACTTGTAAAGCCAAAATGTTGATGTTTATAAAAAGGAATGCATTACCAAAAGGAGGGATTTAGTTGATAAAATATATCAGAATGCTGCAAAGTATGCAAAAAGGGGAATAACAATAATTCTGACAAAGTTAGTAACCAGCCAACACCCTGTTTCATTCATTTTCATTTCAAAAGTCCTTCAACATAGTAAAAGTTTCAATTTTAGTAGATTTTCCATAAAATACCAGTAAATTACTTTGTAAGCACTGACAGGATTTCCTTTTCACCCCCAACAAAATCTTGTTCGGTGTCTACTAAATGCAAATCAATTAAAGTAGAAAACACAGAACGGTAGGAAGAGCACATATCATGGCTTTGGCTTTCAATTTAAGGAACTTTCAGTAAATGACCGAACCTCTCGGAATGTCAGTTTCTTACTTATAACGCATTATAGTGGGAGAAAGATGAAGAGTTACAGCCTAGGAAACCCGCGAGGGCCGCTCTGCCCTGTCCTATAGGGTCACTCCGAAGCTGCGTCACTCAACAGCACTGAGAACACAAAACGTCTCGTATGCTTTCGTTTTTAAAGTATATTATTTTTTATTTGGTTTATAAAAAAATCAATTCTTATAAATCACCTTACAAATTTACTTATAAAGTAAGGAATAATGGAGAGTAATCAAGGATACATACCTATTACCCCCGAGGGAATCCTGTAATAGTCTTGTTAGCTTGGAATCTCTATAGGGAACATGGGTGGCCCTTTTGCTCTTGTCTCCCAATGCACTTATTACATTGCCAAGTGCCAACTAGAAAAGAAAAAGAGAGCAAAAATGATGCAAGTTTACTAACTATAGCATTTTTAAGGGAAAAAAAACTTAGAAAAATAACAGGGAATCATAGCGATTGAAAACATTTGAGTTTTGATTTTGCTTTACTTACATTTGTACTATAAAACATACACTAAAGTTTTCTGTATCAACTAATAAAATCAGACACAACTCTAAGTTTGGTATTATATATATGCATCTGTATATCACAAGCACTTGAGCTTCTATGCAAAGATTTTCTTTAGAAATAAAAGATTATATTTATAAATAAAAATACTGTAAAATTGAAAACATCTAACCATCTCTAGAATAAGAGCATGAGGTGTGCTCTTGGGATATTATTAGTTCCTATTGTAAATTCTTCTCTTCAACTCAGCGATGAAATAAAATGTCTAGTTAATTTAATAGTTTCATAAAACTTTCTTTTTGCAATATAGTTCCCTATGGAAAAGCAGAATCTCCGTCAGCCATAATAAAACTGCTTCTTTAAACAAAGTATTCCCAAGCAAGTGTAGTTGTACTTAGATGTACAATCAATCTTTGTCTCAAGTCTTCAACTTAAAAAAATGAAGTCAAACTACAACTCTCTAGACACTCCTACCTGTCCCCTTCACTGTTTTTCCTATTGCCACTGCATTCTAGCCTTGAGTAAAGCAAACTTCCAGAACCCTGTCCCCCTGAAGGTCACTAGATCATTCATGGAATGATATCCATATTGCTTGGTCTTGGCCTCTCTCACAACAATGAGTATTAAGCATGGGTCACACTGAAACTCTACAAACTATGCCTCAACACACATTAATACCCCAAACAGGAAAAAAGCAGAGTAATGACTTTTGTCTTTTTCAGAAAGCACCAATGTTAATACCAACAATGTTAATTATTGAACTACTAAGAAATTCAAAACAACACACAGTCTAGGATCCAGGTCAAGTATTTAACAGAAAATTCAACCTCATGGTGGGAACCTTCTAAGGAGTACTGGAGATGGGAAATCTCTAAGTTGCCTCTGTTGATAATTTCCCCCACAGAGGAATCACAATAACATAGAAGTAGACAACGAGTAATCTCAGAAAAGAAACCATATGTATGGAGCCCCCAGGGGCAGAATGGAAGGGAGAGAAAGAAAGCAGAAAACACATGCCTTGAAGCTGCCAGTATCACAGAAGTTTATGAATGCCTTTACTGTTACATAGGAACACACATGCCCAATTTAAAGACAAAATAAGTACACAGAACTTTGCTTTAAAACATTGTCTTCCATATAACAGAAGCTTTATGTTAATGCAATAACAAGGTGTTTTCCAAATAAAATACCACTAGGTGGCATGGTCTTAAAATGAATTTCTAATTATTTTGAAACTGTCGCTATGAAAAAATATTTTATTATAATTTCCTAAATTAATAAATCATAAAATGTTAGCAAAAAGCAATTGTAAGTGTTCTGTGAGATGGTTAAAATAATGTCAAATGGTGATTGTTGATAAAATATATATATATATTTTTGGGGGGATGCACATGCATTTTATTTATT